GGGGGAGAAGCCTTCTTTACGCATCTAGAACAAGCTCAGCTGCCACCGACTTAAGTCAGCAAGACAAAAGGGTATTGTCTGACCACGGGCCCAACCGCAACCTGCCTCAAGTCGGGGTGTTTTGGGTGAACAAACATTTTGCTGCTCTTACTGTGTGTCTGCCCTTAAAACAGACAGCTTGGTAGGTGGCAGCCCGGCTTAATTATTTAAAGGAAAACCAATTAGTAAAGGTGACTAAATTTCCACGGGAAGAACAGCAACTTTGAGCGAGGCTAATTCTAGACTCCCAAATACTGCAAGACAGAGTTTCTTTTTATGTGAATGGTTTTGATCTAATTGGAGTCTGCTCCTTTAATTGAAAACTAAAAGGCCCTTGTGGGTTAAGTCTGGTAGCTACCTTCTGGAACAGCGACCGCATAGAATAGCTGCCGCGTTTTCATTAATGTAAGCTGGTTCAGGCCCATCAGCTACGCGTGGATTGCCGGCAGAAAGTTAGACATTAACACTTGCGGAGCCTCGCTTCTCTCATGAATATTTTAGAAAGGTCACAGTCAGGAGCAAAGGGAAAAAAAAAAGATCAAAAGGATGTTTTCCTCCCAACCTCCAGATGAAAGCTATACTGAAGTGTGTCTATAGGATTTTTCTAGCCAGAATTCTCGGTTTGGTGATACCGAGCGGGTAATCGGTCACTTGATTCAGCTCTTTAGAATTTGTACATCATATTTACAAAAAAAGAGCGAACAAACCCACAACTCCTAGCCATTCTGGTGATTTCATCTTTGGGTTTAAATACAGAGTGTCTCTAAACACACAGAAGCTGCCGAGCATCTCTCCCTTTGGTCTTGCAGACAAACTGCAATAGCTCTAGCTCCTGGCAGAGACAGAAGACATTTTTGGCTAGACTCTCCTCAATGACTAATCCAGCTCAGCAGCTGGATAAAACACCCAACCACAGAACAGGGCACAGGCAGTATTTATTGCCTTTACTTAAGGCATGTAGAGTATTGCCTGCATCTTCATTAATAAGCTTTACAGGCCCTTTTTAAGATCCCTCAGCTGTTTTTAGACACACGCTTGGCTCCTACAGCGACTTCTCTCTGTCACAGGTAGCGGTGAATCCTTCCATCTCCCTAACCTTCAGTCTGTGCCACCCTGTGCACTCTGAACGGCGGTGCTCCCAGAAAACACCCTGGTACTGCATCCTATGTGGAATGCTAATTGTATCTTCTGCAGGCAGACACGTTACTCTGGCGTTACCGACGCTGGCTTCCTCTTTGCCTCAGCCTACAAATTCAAGCTACTGGCACTTATCTGCAGGGTGTTTCACCGTCCATCACCCTCTTCCTCATTTTCCACAAGAATAAATAAGCACAGACCTTGGAAATCAGAATTGCCATATTTCTATTCCGGAGAGGTATTATCAGTGGAAGGCTTTGTGCTCTCTTAGTCTGCAGGGATTAAAGAAAGCCCTTGAATAAACCTTGACATAATTCCTGAGAACTATTTCTGAGTGTTTTCCCCTGAAATTCCAGAGACTGAATGGTTTAGCTGGAAGTTTCTTGCTATGTCTGTTCCAATATGCTATTAGTACACACATGCTTAAATTGGCAAAGAAACAGAATCATTAATGAAAGTTTAAAAAAAACACCTAACGCCCACAGCAAACCCACACAGGGGCTTTGTTTTACCAGTCTCTTTCGCAGCCCACATGAAGAGCCACACGCCCTTGTGCCTGAGAAACCAGACCTCCATGATAGCACCTCCTGCAATTGTTCAACCCCCTTGCCCAGAACTCAGGCAGGGTGGTGGAAACAGGAGAGGCAGCGCAGGCTGAGCTTGAACAGCAGAAACCAGCAGAGAAATCAATACAGGAGCCCCTTCCAGGGCTCTCTCACGTTGGATGCCTCTAATAGCCTTGATGCATGCTGTGTTGTGTGCTACTACAATGTAATGACTTTATCAAACACATAATTAATGTCATCAGAATAAGAATGCCCTTTAAGGCGACTTAGAAAAATAATGAATTGATTCCTAATTATGACAGCTATTTAAAATCATCTTTTCAGAAACTGGAATTCCCCTTCCTTCTCTGGAAACACACGCTTTTGTCAGGCAGGCACAGCCACTTATTCTCGTGCTTCAACTGCCTGACAGCTGCTATTGATTTTTTTCTTTTTTAAAAGCAATGGCATTTGATTTCTATTTCTATTTTTCTATTTTTGGGAGCTGGTGCACTGATCAAAAGAGCACAGAAACAGCTTCTTTAGTCAGGCAAGCAGAGAGCACGCTAGCAGCTCTGAAACAGCACACAACAGACGTTACTACAGGGTTTCACTTGAGGAGGGGGAACAACGCATCCTCCCATTCTCCTACTATCAGCTATAAGAAAAGCACAGCTTCCACTGACTGATCTACACAAAAAGACCCCAGAATTGAACGCTCCTGCTCACACCTCCACAACACCGAGTGCAAAGCGACACAGAAGGGTCAGTTTCTGCTATTTCAGAATAGCATGCTCCTTTCTTTAGCTCCCCATGCCCGTGGCTCCGAGCCCTGTGCCAGCATGGGAGCAGGCCCGGTGGGGTCGTGGCTAACCTGCTGGCTCCCCCTGGTGACACCACTCGCGTGTGGGAGGTGACAAGGAGCCTCTTGAGGATCTCCACTCGCATGGCTTTCCACTTCTCGGGGGGCGAGATGTGCAGCGCCAGCACGGTATAGTAATGGGGCCCATCCACCTCGTAGGCACTCTCCACCCACTTCTCTTTGGGGTGCTCCAGGAAGCTCTGCAGGTTTTTCTCCTCCCTCGAAGTTGCTCGAGTTCTGAAACACAAGAAAAGCTTCAGCAGCTGTTCTGGCTCTCGTGTGGCCATTTGCTACGTCTCGGGAGCTTTGCGGTACTGCAGTCACACAGTCCTAGACGGGAGAAAAGAGCACTAGCTTTGGAATGTCAGGCTTTTCCCAAACTCATCCACTGCTCGAGTATTTGCTCCCAGCAAACTTGCTGCTCCTTGGAGCAAACCTCTCCAGGCTCACAAGGCAGTTGGTATCGCCCCAGTAGAGGGCAATACAGGTGCAGAGCTACTCTTCCTTTATCTCAGAGAACAAAAGAGAGGTAAGGCCAGCCAGGCCATGTGCTATCTCCCAGCTGACACTAAGCACGTGACTGCAGCTCCTACAGCCGGACATTAAAATCAATTTATGTTCTTCATCTACTGCAAAAGCAATCACAGAGAACATGCAGGCCAATTTCTAAACCAAAAACACAGTGTATTTGCTGTAAGCTCACATACATAATTTTTTTCCCTTCCCCTAGCTCCAGTCTCCTCAAGAGTCCTGACACCCCTGAGCCTACCGTGCAAACTTTGTGTCACAGCAGACCTTGTGAAGACGGAGCAGCTCTTACCACACTATCGCTCTACTTCATCAGGAAGAGGCTGCCAGCCAGGCAGGTCCCTTCATTTTTAAGTCAGATACACCCTCCCCACCAGGAAGGTATAAAGCAGCATCCTAGCAAATAAAGCCGTGTCTGGGTGTCAGTGTTGTGCGACCTTTTCATTTGCTACACAATGCAGCTGGTAGCCAACAAGTAGCTCTTCATTTTCTCCATTTAATATCAAACATGTCTTTAGAAAATAAAAATAATCACGTCTGGAAAGTACATAATGCATTTTTATCCAACAGGCGCGCAGCGGGTGCCGGGCGCTCTGGTGCCAGTAAGCGGACTAACGAGATGAAAAGAATAGTTTCATTTATTTGTCTCCCAAGGGACCAGAAAACAATAGCGCAGGGATCTGGATATAGATACTAAAAACAAAAGACAAATTGTATTAGAGCCAAAACGTTGATTAGTTCCAGGCGGGAAAGTGAGAGAGATTTCATTGCACTCCGTTTGGAGTGACCTTGGTGGAAGAGGTGTATGTTTATATTTTAACATTTATACCCTCCTCTAATTAACACCACTTTCTGGTATCTAACTACACAAATAAAAGTCACAGGGCACTGCATTTTCATACGGGGTGCTGTATTATCAGTGCTCATGCACCCAAAAACATCCAGGTGCCTATGGATTTGCACACTTAGACACAACGTCAAGCCAAAGCATGCCCGATGTTTATGCTTTGTACTAGTAAGATCTGACTAACACACTTCTGCAGAAGGGTTCCTACGCTGGCGTTCATGTAAATAATAACAAATCTTAAAAATGCCAGGAAAATCTGACGGGCCTGAACGCTACAGGAGAATTCCGGTATGTCAAAACTGGAACCAAGACTGATGGTGTTATTTTCATGTCGGCTAAAATGATACCGGGGTTAAGTTTTCAACCAACAATTACTTCATAGTAGCCTCCTTTGTCTGTTCCAGCAAAAATTAAGCTGGCGGTGGTTTTTTTAATCTAATAACCCTGTTGCTCAGCTCACAGGTAATAATTACATCTAGAATGGAAAGAGAAGCTAATTCCCAATTACTTTTACTCAATAGGTTCCCTGTTATCCTGCATGTCCAGGCGGCAACGCTTTACCCCAAACAGTATAAGCCTGTACCAGTCAGCTTAAAATTTGTAATTTAGTTCCTCCTAAAACTTGTGTGTGTTTTTCCACCACTCCTGCCACATACACATGCACGGCCCCGACTGCAGCCCCTTTCTGAGACCAAGAGAGGAAGGCAGAAGTTGTTGCCAAGAGAAAGGTACTGACGTGTTGAGGACGTAGAGCACCGTGTGGATTATGTATGGAATGAGGTGTATGTTGCTCTCCCTTCCTCCTCCTCCAGTATCGACGCTGAACGATTGCTCCATGGCAAAACGGAGAAACAGCAGTTTAATGTCATGGACATTGAGCTGGTAGGTGGGTTCCCGCTGCCCTGTGCATTCCTGGAGGTATGTGTTGTGTCTGAAAAACAGCAGGAAGCATTACTTCAGTAAAAACCCTTTCAAAGCTGTGTTACACTTTCTTCTGCCACACTACAGCCCAGAATCTGAGCAAGTATCTCACAGACAAGCTTTAAAGAACGGTCAGGATACAAAAATGTAAGTAGTGCCACCTTCGCTTAACCTCCATAAAAGGGGGGCTCTCCGCTTACTCTGGCAAGTACCATGCCATCTGCATACATACACACACTCATCCATACTGTTTTCCCACATCCGGGGTGTTTGGGATACAGCAACCTGGCTGAAACGCACCGAAGGCGTTACCGCTCCCGATTTCTGATGCGACTGTACAAACCCAGCGCAAGGTGGACCAGAACATTAACAGGATGAACCACCTCCATCTGCTCTCGGGAAGTGGTCAGGCTACCAAAATGCACTACCACCCGGAAGGGCTTTGGAAATCTACACAAGGGAATCAGTTAGTTTCTTTTGTAAAGCAGGAGGGGTCACTGGGCTGCAGATAAATCCACATTGTTACTGCACGGTGCATCTTCAGGAGTGACGGGGGCTAAGGAGGTAATGAATTTACTTATATGAAGTCAAGAAGCAGACACCTGCACTTTTTTAGGAGACGTACTCTTGAAGGTAGAATCTGAAATAGCTCATGTTTACTAAGATTTAGCTGCATCACCTTTGATTCCATGGTTTGAAGCTCTGTGGTAACGTCCTGACTCACCTACCCAAGTGCAAACCAGCTCGAGAAGTAACTTTTTCTACTCACCGTGCTAAACAAGTAGCAAAAGCAGACTCTGGCACGTGAGGTCCCCAGACTGGCAGGAGCCCGTTACACTTCGTGTTGGCGTTTTGCAGGGCCGCACTCTCCCACTCTTCACGGCCGCGAGCAAGTCTGCATGGAGAAAGCAAGCCACACCCAGGCAAGTTAGAAGTACGTGAGGTTTTGTCTAAAGAAGCATCAAAAAACTGATAATTCCACAGCTGCTTTAAATGCTGCACTTCCCTTTTCAGTGTGCAGACCTGACCTCTGCTTGGCACGTGAGAAGAGAGAAGCCCACGGCTGTCTCCAGGCTGCCATGCGATCAGTTCATAAACCAACCCACCCTGAGACACAAGGCCAAGTGCCACGCTCAGAAACCACCTTGGAAAATAACCCCAACCGCCGCTCTCCAGCCCGCCACCTGAACGTACCTTACGGCGGCAAGGTGGCAGTCGTAGTGGACGATGTTGAAGTGAGAGACTGTGCTGTAACCCTGTTGTTTTCGGGGCTTGTTCTCAAACTCCTCTAGTGCAACGCGTTTGGTGAAAGTGTAAATACCCAGGACTTTCGTAGGCTGCAACGACACAACAGCCAGTTACAGATCGTTCACGTCTGCAACAGCTCACGCCTTGTGCGATTTTTACACTGCGCTGAATTCCATCTCTCCCAGCCCCTACCTCAAACTTACACCGACCAAATCCGCTCACAGCTTTCACTGAAAGCATCCAGTTTTCAACAGAAACGCATTTCCACCTCCTAACCACCTCTGGAATTACTGATCCCAAGAACACAACCTGAGATTTCCTGGTCTCAGCAAGTTTGCTGACGACACCAAACTGGGGGGAGTGGCTGCCACGCCAGAAGGCCGTGCTGCCATCCAGTGTGACCTGGCCAGGCAGGAGAGCTGACGGGGAGAAATCGAATGCAGTTCAG